AAAAAAAAAACATTATTTCAGTAACGCATTTAAAATTTAAAAACCAAACCAAGGATATAACATTTGGAGTAGAACACATAAAAAAAAACCCGAGACCATATCTTTGCTCCTAATTGTCCCATTTTAACGATTTTTTTTTTTTTTTTTTAGGAAATTTCATAAACTTTTAAAAAACTATATATACAATATCAACAAAAAAGTAAAAACTTTTCGAGTTATTCGGAATTTAATTTTACCATCCCTCGTAACTTTTTTTCCAGCTCTTTTCGTTGAAGTATGATATATATATAAATTTAAAAGGCGTCGAGAAAATGACTTTAGCGAAGTTTCATTGAAATCTGTGCATTCGTTTAGGAGCTACAGTCTATAGCAACGCAGTTTTTTCGGCCGCCATTTTGAAAGTTAAAGGCGGAAAGAAAAGTTAAGTGCGGAGAGTAATGTCGATGAAGGAGGAACATCCTCGGGTGACCTCTGATTTTATATCAAAATTTGAAAAAAAAATCGGTCCAGTAGTTTCGGAGAAAATGCGCGGACGGCGGACGGCGTACGGCGGACGGACAAAAAAAATTTTATTCGTTTTTCGAATTCTACGCATCTTGAAACGTGAAACCTCAAATTTTGAGAGGGGGTTATGTTTTTGAATTTTTTGGTCGATCACAATGTTTCATTATTGAAAATAATAAATCAAAAGTGTTTACTTCTCTAGTTATTCGTAAATCTATTTTTACCAGCCCTCGTAACTTTTTTTTCTAGCTTCTTTTAGTTGAAGTACGTTATATAGATAAATGTAAAGGTCATCCAGAAGAAGACTTTAGCCAATTTTATTTGTAATTGGTTCTTTCCTAAAGGCGCTATAGTCTGTACCCACACACGTTTTTGTTTATCATGGAAGAAATAGGCGGTTAGTAATGTCGTGGTAGTAGGATCGTTCTCGGGTGAACTGTTGCATTTAATTTGAAAAAAAATATCGGCCTGGCAGTCTCGAAGAAAAGCCGCGGACGGACAAAAAAAATTTAAAACCTCAAATTTTGAGGGGATTACATTTCTGAATTTTTCGGACGGTTACAATAGTTCATTATTCAAAATAAAAAAGAATAAAAAAAGGTGTAGTATTATTCTAGCTTCAACTGTACCTGAAAGATAATATTTAAACTATGTAAAAGTAAGAAACTCACGTTGTTTGTGAAATTTCTGCTAGAGTTAACAGTTACATCAGAGAGTGATTTACTGCTGCATTTCCTTTGAACCTTATTGAAAGGAGCCTTCTCTTTGGGTCAAATAACAGCCTTTCGGGAAGAGTTGTAAATGTTTACAACCACCCACAGACGTCGCCTGCCTTCTCTTTCCCTTATTTACACACTCTTTCTCTGGAATGGAAATGGTTCCATGCTAATGTTTTGACTACTGGTATAACCTTGGGAGTACTCTTTATTATATAGCAATCCCTGTTCCTAATGCATTCCATGTATAAGTGACATCAGAGTTTATACGTCCATGCAATAAAAAAGTATAACACACACGATCGGGTATTTCAAAACAATCATACGTATAAAGTAACATTACCTCCCAAGAAACTAAGACAAAGAAAAAAAAAAGTGATCCCTATTATGGTCTTAAACTTTTTTTTTTAATCATTAGTAAATTTCTAAAAATAATAACAATACTTCACTAACATTTTAAAAAGTCAAACACCAAAACAAAGGATATATCCTTTGCAGTAGAACAAATACTGAATATCTAGAGACTATGTCTTTGTTTCAAATCGTCAGATTATTTAAAAATCGCGATATCTTTACTAATAGTGCTCTGATTTCGATGAAACATTCTTCATTTTTTTCAGGAATTCAGGAAATTTAAATACCTTTGAAACATAGTCATAGTATCGACAAAAAATGTATACTTTTGGGGTTATTCTATTAATTTTAAAAATTCATACAAAGTATTGATTTTTTCTTCAGTTTCTTGAAGAATTTCTCTTAATGTTATGGCTAAGCCTGTTTTTTTTTTCTATAACTTTCAAATTGAGGACATTATTCCAATAAGTATTTCACTTTTTCTAACTTTTCGGTAAATATTTGTGGAACGTTATTACATTGTTCACACGTGGGCGCTTCGAGTCCTCTCAGAAGGTAGCCATGTAAACTGGCATTGTCCTATCCTTAGTCGCTAAAAGCATAACTTCTTCTCTTCTTGAACTTCTGTAGCTCTGTAGCTTGTGAGCCATTTGTCGCCTTGCCTTCCTTGCCTTTTAGGCTACACGGAGTTTTCCTGGTCCGGGGGAGAAGGCGAGGAATTATGCCTAGTTTCAATTCCCACCGCATACCGGAATTTGTATTCGTAATATTTTTCCATCTAACTTCAGTTATCAGGTTGCCGGTCAACGCGCAGTGCTGTGCAGACACGCGTTAGCTCGCTCGGAAAAATCAAAACAATACGAGATTCGTCCTTTAGCATGGAGAGATTTTTTTTTTCATCCAAAATTTTTTTGGTGCAACAATTATTTTCACATGGTAAGAAAACTGGTTTTTAAAACTTCTTTTTTTTTTATCACAGATTTTTCGAAGTAGATTTCCTTTATGCTTAAAATTCGTTCTTACAAAATTAAACCAATGTTAATAAATATTTGTTCGGTATTGTAGACTTAGGAATTTACTAGGTCTGATCAATATTCAAATTTCATCATTTATTGAATTTAGTTAAATATTAGTCTAGAAATTCATATTGCTTCAAAGGAATCCGCAGGCTTATCAAAAGAGGGTTTTTATATATTTGTATATACTCTTCCTTTCTCTGCCATAAGCAAATCAGCCTTTGTTCGAATCTCTTTCCCGATAAAAGCTGTGTGAATTTCCCATGGCAATGCGATCGTATTATTGCTACAAAGTCTATTGACAAGTTTATTGTACAGATAAGCGGATCCCATGGGAATTCCAGTCAGTTTGTTGCTATTAGTTATTCTTCTGAATTCTCATAAATAAATAAATAAGTTATTGTTTCAAAAAATAAAACGAAAAAAATATTTTTTACAATTTATGGATGGTCTTGAATTCATTCAAATTCTTCTATCTTCATCTCATTGAGTCATTGATTATTATCCTTATAAATAAATTACAAAATATACACATCACGTATCTTTTTCTAGGTGTTATAAACGTATAATTATTAGTATTACAAATATAATACAATCATAATTGTAATCTAATGCAATTTAAGTCATACATAAATTCATCTAAAATTCTAATACTTAAAATTATGGTTTCGTTTAAAATTTTTATTAAATAGATTTAATTTCTATTATACGTGAATTATGTCGTAATATAATATAACGTCATCTCATCAATCACGTATCTTCTTTTATTTACATAAATTCTATCTAGAACTCGTTTTTCTGATGAAATTTTTATTTTTTTTTTCTATTTTTAGCTCTGATGAAACCCACATGCTTGGGTCGAAACGTCGATAAACTTAATAAAAAACATAAATGACTGCCATATCTGACTATTTTTCTTTCTGAAATTTAATGTCAATAATGAAAAAACGAAAGTCAAATTCGGATAGTTCTGTTGTATTGCGGTAAAATAAGGGATTTGGTTAGTGAGGGTTTTCTTTCGCCTAAATGATTCAAAAATCCTTATGTGGAATGACTTTTTTTTTCTCCATTTCAAAATGTGAAACGTTTGAAAGAATTTCTTTAAAAAGAAGTCAAAAGTCGAAACTCAAGAAACAAATTATTATTAGTGCGATTTTCTCCATAATTGGCCTTCTAGAACATTACAGAGTTCCCCTCCAAGGAACGCACTAAGAAAACACCTTTACCGTAGAATCACTTAAGCCATAAAACAAACATTTTGACTTGCGGCAGGGTAGGCCAGAGAAACAGAAACTAGAACTTTCCCAAAGGGAGTAGCGGTTTGTTGAGACAGCAAACGGTATAGAAACAAAAGAAGGGTATGTTTAACCCATTTCCTGGAAATCCGTTAGGACAACATCAAATAAGATCACCTGCAGTATGGAGCCACTGTGCAAACGCATGGCGGCTTCGCCAAGGTTCTTCTCTAGGGGGCGGTCTCCACATAGTCACCGTTTTCCAGAAAACGAGAACTTAAATCTCATAACTTTTAATGTTTAATAAACAAATAAAATGATGTCTTATTTTAGAGACGGAGGTTAATTTTCCCAGCTACCATTCCATCTAATCCCCTCCAACAGTTGCACGGGCGGATCTACGGGAGGGGGAGGGCTTTCGTGCTTAATCCCCTCCAAATGGTAAAATATAACCATGTTTTATGGATTTTTTTTTTTTTTTAATACCTCTTAAAGTATTATTGTTCGTGTAATTACTTTTAAAAGACTTTAAAAAAGACTGCGTCCTGAATATTTATCACTCAAGAAATGAGGGACTTATTTATTAAATTATAATGAACTTATTGTAGCTCTTGAAGTCTGATATCGCCCATTTAAGTACTTCGCTTTACTTAGGGAACACCCTAAATACTTGATCAGTCTATTTCTTTTTTATCTAGTAAAGTTTCAAAAAATATATTTTAGACCTGAATTTATTAGATCTATTATTTTTATCATTTCTATTACTTTCGCTGTTTTTTTTTTTTTTTTTTTTGTTTTTTTTTCAGTCTTCTACCAGCAAGAAAATGTTCTGTCTTGCACTTTTCATTTGATTTGTTTGATAAATTTAAGTTTTCATTCTATTATATATTACATTCATTATAACATTTTAAAAAAACTTATATCGATGAAAATATCTTTCGTACTCTTGAACGGGAAATTGCTACGAACAAATATATGCTACTGGAATATAATAAGTATGCGTTCTCAACAGTATTATTCTTTTCTTTTAATATTTAGAATTTTTTTACTATGATATAATTTATTACTATTTCCACGTGATGGTGTAATAAGAGATAACATTTCATTATCAAGTAAATACTCTTTGAGGAATTATTAAAATATTTTTTAATGTTTATTTTGCCTAATATCTAATTCTATTCCAGCTCCGTTATCCTTTGATATTGTTTATATATAGCTTGTCGAGTAGCGAAGAACAAGTAACAAACATCCAGTCACTATTCACTTCAAATCTAGTCAAGATGTCTATCGTCGTATCTCCCGTGTCATCTCCTACTAATATTAAAGATGTGGCAGTGAGTAATTATATTCGTTTATGTATATTATATATTTTTACATGATTATTTCATATTAGAGGCGTTTGTTTCCAAAGTGTATCATAATCATCTTTGACAATTTTTGAGGAATCGCCACGGTATTTTTATAGTAACTGTGACATCAAATCCAACATCCTTTAATAAATAAACTGATAAATTCATTATTTGCGGCAGATATTTCCAAAAATCTCTTATTATTTTAACAGTAATTAAAAAACACTGAAACTTGAATATGGCCGCTTTGGGGAAAAATTAAAGTTCATTGCCCGTTTTCGAACAAAAAAAAGGCGTAAAATCGATTATATAAAGTGCCACTTCCGGCTATCCGATTTTTACGAAAAAGTCGCTGTAACATTCCAGGTATATACGAAAATTTTTACGATCGCAATACTTTCTCTTACTATATATTTCATACATAGGTAAGTGAAAGTGAAAAAGAATGGTTGGGATTCGGTTTGGAGAGACAAAAATTGTCCATTACTGGAGAGGAGTAATAAAACTTGTCCTATACAAAATTAATATATACAAATTTAATATATATAAATAAATATATAAAATTAACTTCTTGTTTACAATATTGATATTAAAATTGATTTATTTTTAATTTTTATTTAGATGAAAAAGCTTTTGATGAATTTTTTTTTTAAAGAACACTTAAGAAACGCAAGTTTCCTTACATTTCTCGAATAAAATAATCAACCTATTTCTTTACTATTTTTTTTAAATATCTAGATTCATTTAAAAAAAAAAAGTGCATAATCGTTATTATTAGTCTTTATATGAGTATCTTTACTTATATCGATTTAAAAAGAAAATCGAGTAGAATTCACTTTAGAAATGAGCAACTCAATTATATTATTTTGTAATACATCAGCTTTTGTTTACACACATGTAATACTCAATATCCGGTCATTAAAAATCATTTCTCAAGCTATTTTTTTTTTCTTTGTTTTGCTATACAAAATATATTTATAAGTTATTTTGATAAATGTTATAATGGATTACAAAAATCCAAATATTGCAGTGCGTTTTATAAAAGAATGAATTTTATAAAGCTATTTGTAAATTAATTTTTTCTTCTCAATCGTTTGAAATATTTATTACATTTCCGTACGTTTTGAATGTTCCGCAAATCAAGAAAAGTTATTTTTTATAGTAAATTTGCGTAACTAAAATAAAAATCTTTTTCGTATCTGTTACTACAATGTATTGAGTTGCAGATTGTATTATATATATAAATAAACAGTGATTTCAGATCTGTGGGGTCTATGTAAATATATATTTTAATATTTACTATAAAATAAATTTATATAAATGTTTCATTTTTGTTTATTGATTGTTTTTTTTTTAATATAATAAAACTTAATGGCCATATAACTAGCCAACCAGCCAATCTTTTTTCTTTGTGTACATAACAAGAAATATAAATTGAATAAAAACAATTTTAAAAATTAAAACATCTATTTATAGATTGTGTGTTGCCGTATATATAAAATATATGGTGAAAGTGTCAGGAAATTCAGTTGTTTAAAAATGCATATTTTCGTATTTAATTATGTAAATTGTAGATGAATGAAAATACTAAAATTGCATGCCATCAAGTGTATCCAGCTCAAAAAAAGAAAATATTTCTATTTATGGATAAGGCTTACATTTTATCCTCTATGGATGTTTTTTAAAAAATATTTTCTCTATTTCTGTCCTCTCAATCTTTTATTTATCGATCCATATTTTCGAAGTATATCCAGCGATGAATCTTTTCGTATTAGGAAAATTTTTCGGATTCCAGAGCTTTGTTGCAATTTTTTTATTTTAAATATACTTTATTAAAAATGGAAATACTTTTAATTTTGATGACAAACCAGATCTTAAACTTCTCAACTGTTTCGAAATCATGTTCTATTTTTATCATGATTTAAATTTTCTATAAAAATCATGTAATCAAGAGCTTAAGCATCTCAAAACAGAAGGGATAATTAAGTCAAGGTTAAGGGAATTATTTAGTTCTCAACTTCTAAATGTGAAAGGCTGAAACACTTACAATTTTTCACATCCGCCTAAAACTTCGTGAATAGCTTCATCTTACCTTAGACAGCAACTTTTTTAGCTAAGAAAATTTTCGGAAATAGTTTTATCTTTAAATTAATTAATGAAGTGCTAAAAACTCTTGCTTTCCACGACTTTTTATTTTTATCACTTCATTTGCTTCTCATTTGATAATTTGATCAAAAAATCGAGAAAAAAAATTGTTCGACCTCCATGACCTTGTTATTTTGAGGTCACTCCAAACGGCTTAATATTTTTGTCTACCATCTTTTTTCTCGGAATTGTGAGCAAATTAATTTACGATCCAAGTGGGGACCAAATGGATATTCATGAGTTTGTAGTACCTGATTAGTGGCTTAATTTGAAAAAAAAGAACCCATTCACGAATTTTTTGGTGAATATTAATAATTTGATAAAAAGAGGTCTGTATAAAAATCAATCGATCGCTGTTAATTATTTTTTGAAAAATATTTTTCAATTGTTCCTATTTGATGTAAAATATTTTTAACGTTGGGACAGAGAATAGTAAAGTGTACTCGCTCTCCTCTGGATGCCTGTATGATTTCAATCACGAATAAAGAAGGTATAAATGAAATGAATGCAATTGAAATTAGGTATAAGAGTTTGCAAACAGGATTCTGAGAACTTCCATTGAGGAGTAATAGGAGACCATGCAAACAATCCATTATTCCATCGCTGCGCGTTGGAGCTATTTCCTTACCGGTGACAAATCCTTAAGATAAGATTTGCTGTTTGGGTGTATCCGGCAAATAGTAGGCAGTGTGAATGCAATGAATGCGCACAATGGCTTCAGTGAGGGTGTCAGATCGCAGCTCCCCATTCATCCGCCTCTTTTTCCCCGTAAAGAAGCGGACTTAGCTGCCGTAAAGCAGGGCTACGTAATTGGGGAAGGTGGCCCCATTGAGGAAGGCCAGGGGGTGAATGGGGTACCGCTAACCCGCCTTAGGGCAGTCCAGCCCATGCTAACCCTCTCCCCTGACAAAGGGAGGACCCATCTCCTGGAAGATGACAGCTGTATGGAGGTCCTCATCTGCTGGACATTGGCTATGTTATTCAATAACTGCTACCTCCGCAGGCCCTCCTCCTCCGATAATGAGTCCTCCTGCTATTCTTACCTAGCCTGGAGGAGGCCTTTACAAAAAATCTTTATCTTGCAGGTGTAGCACCTGTTAACTTTAAATTGAAAGCATCTTTTTGCTAGCAAAATTAATAGAGTGAAAGTAACGGAGAAAATAGATGATAAATTACAAGATAAGTTTAAGCCGTGTTTATAAAGTTCTAGAACACAGTATGGGTATCCATGCACTTATCATCCATGTGCTATCAAGCTAAGCAGTCAGCACAAGTTTTGAATGAATGATAAATAACTTGTCTGAACTAACGTATAAAGTTTTATTAGTTATAGGAAAGTCATGTCTGTACTGTAAACAAAGTTTGTGAGTTCTTAAAATGGCAAAGCTATGTGGAAAGACTAAGCATCTGAATTATTTGGTTTAAAAAAAAAATTATTTGGTTAGAAATGCTTTATTGGAAAGCATGAATGAAGATTCAGAAGGTAAAGAACTTGATGAATACATGGATGAAATCCTAGCTGTTTTTACAATAAATTATTGTGGATATTGTACTCAAACAAAGAATCAAACACATCAAAACGTCACAATAACCTTCTCCATGCGTTTACGAAGTTGGCAACACTTGACAGGACCCTAGGCTTTGTTAAAAATCGAGCGAGCTAGGGACCATATTTAACTCAGATTTCCTAAATAATTTTCTCGACTTTACACATTCATGAGGTTTACAATACTTACCATTGGTTGTATGAATACCACTAGTTTTTATATAATTGCACTTAAAACAGTATAAGGTCAATCCAACTTGACCATGTTGCTTTATTAAATTTTCACTAATGTTGAGAATAGTTATTATTTGTTCACAAAAAATTTAATAATATAAAAACTTTAGATAGACACAGTTTTGGGTTCAGAAATAAACATTAAATAACAACATCAATAATTGTGACAACAATAATTTTTCACTCAATCAGAATCATAGTTGATAAGGTTCACTGTCAAGGCACTTGCATATATCAGTTGGCGTGATAGTAGCTGTCACTGCCGCGAAAACTTATTTACCCATCGTAGAGTATTCTTAAGGATGCTGATTTATCTTGTAGATAACCAAGTTGCTCCCAATACCCTTTTCATTATGAATTATAAAATTTGTAGTTTGATTTTTCCCTTTATCTCTTGGATCGGAAGTTACCTCAAATTGGTTGCCTCCAAAAATTGTTAATCCCATAAAAATGTGCCCCTCTCAAAAATTTGGATGACACAACTTATCATCCTATTCGGTGCACTTCTAATAATACAAGTCAGTCGTGAAAAAAAAAAACTCTTTTAGTCATAATGAGAGTTCGCCACTTTTCACTGTGTTCTTAATATATGGTTATCTAGAACATCAATGATTAAACCAAAACCTCATGCAATAATAAAAAATGTAAATTAGTAAGGAGGTCATTATTCTTCTTCTTTTTATACTATTATACATTGAAAATAACCAGTGACCTTCAGCAAGGTAAAACTTACGACGGATTTATTTATTCAAATCAATAATATTTTTTTCTTAATAATAAAAGAACTCAACGAATTTGGATGGTGATAGACTGTATTCCCTCCATTGCTGTTCACCATCACAGCTGGCGTCACGCGTTATTCACATTGCGCAAGCAGCTCCTCCCACTAGAAACCGGCCTATAGGAGAGGCGGGAATACATAACGCATTCCGTGTATCGATTGGCGGTCGCCATACCGTTTGATAGGATTGGGAGGGCTGCACTTTTCTGATAAAGTCCTTAGCTCAAACCACATGGCGTGTTTCTGATTTAAGTGGGAGGGGTGCTTAGTTAGCAAACT